AAGGTTTAGAAAAACCTCGTGATCCCAATAGTTTTTTTCAAGCATTTATTAAAGACATCCAAATCATCATAGGCAATGGTGGTATTAACTTTAATGGTAATAGAATTCCAATCCAATTGAGGTGTTTTATTGCTGATGCACCAGCTCGAGCCTTTATTCTTAATCATCGTGGACACATGTCCAGTAAACCATGCTCGAAGTGCAAAGTTTCTGGAACCATTTGTGAAGGTCGTAATGTCTTCAATGGGATAAACCATTCATTAAGAACAGATGAGGAATATTTTAGTGTTTTAGACGAAGATCATCATAAAGAGGGTCAAAGCCCATTATCATTGATCCCTATAGGAATAGTTTCGCAAGTACCTTTTGAGTATATACATTTAGTGTGTTTAGGTGTCATGAAAAAATTATTATCAGCATGGATTTCTGGAAGATATTCACGTGCAGCAAAACTGTCAGCAAAATCAATTAGTGTTATGTATACAAGGTTGGATATTCTTCGAAAATATTGCCCTTCTGATTTTGCAAGACGTCCCACATCTCTTCATTCATATTCCAAATATAAAGCAACAGAATTGAGACAAATTCTGCTTTATACAGGTCCCATTATAATGTACGGTTTATTAGATGAACAAGTTTACAAGCATTTCTTGTTTTTACATTCTGCTATAAGAGTTTTGGTTTCAAAGTCCCCATCCAAACAACTTCTCACATTCGCAGAACTTGCACTGCAAAAATTTCTTCTTCGTTCTTGCAATCTATATGGTGAAACTTTCAATTCTTACAATATACACGGTCTTCTTTATCTTACCAACGATGTCCGGCAGTTTGGAAATTTAGATTCTTATTCTGCTTTTCTATATGAAAGCAACATGTCCATTTTTAGAAAATATTGCAGGAAACCAGGCCAGCCGCTTCAACAGTTTGCCAATAGGATGAGGGAACTACAAATACATGGGACAAACAGGCGTCAGGAAGTTAATTCATCTATTCGCGTTTCCATGCCACTTAATAATGGTGCTGCTTTTCCCCAGTATCGTAAGATACAATTTAACAAAATATTGTTGAGTACAGATATGCGTGACAGTTGCTGCATGTTACATGATGGGGCTATATGTATTGTTTGTAATATTTTCACTCACAATTCCGATTATTTCTTGGGAATTAGAAAGTTTTTGACTGTAGAAATTTTTTACGATATTGGCATACCATCCTCATCTGTTCAAGTTGTGAAATGTACTAACTTATGCAGCGATGTTATTAATATAAATGTAAATGAAGTTCAAGCCAAATGTTTTAGAATGCCATTTTGGAACTATAGTTTATCAGATGATAGTGATAATGATGATAATGAAAACTTTTTATTTTCCGAAATTAACACTTATATTGTTGCTACATTAATCCATTGGGAATATAGTTCTTTATAATGTTTTAAATAAACTTTTTGAAGTCAACAATTTTTTTAATGAGTGGAATAGGCCTACCGGGGAAACCACTATAAAAAAAGCGCGCCATGCTATCTACCCCAAAGGGTGGTGGGGAAACGATAGCGCTCTTATCTCTGGTCTACATTCAGTTTTATGGTAATTATGGATTTAAGCTGTAATTCTTGTTTTAAGCTTTAACGTTGCTTCAAGCTTTATGGCCGGTATTCATAGTCGAGTCTTATTTTTAAGACTGTCTTAAGTTCATCTTCAGATACTCCGTAGCCAATGAAATGATCCGTTCATCATCTGAAGATAAATTTAAGATGGTCTTAAATATAAGATCTGACTATGAATACCGGCCTAAGTCTTAGTAAATATTCTTAGAACAAGTCTGTCTACAATACGTACTGTCAATATCATTCATTATTTCAGTTTATATCCTTTTCATATCTGTATATAGTTATCTCTTATTTCGACAGCTACCTAGTATCTGGTGACAACCTCAAATACGTATATAATACACGCGTTTTTCAAGACAATTTTCTATTAGTTTATTTCTTAAAAATATACAATTCAATGGCACTCGAGTATAAAAACCCAGAAAGATAATCACTGTAAAGGTCCTACACACTATTGGAAATAATAAATTAAATATTCTCTTTTTGATATATATTTATTTGTATAAATATTGCCATTCCTTTCCCAACATAAAAATCGGTATTAATATATATTAAAACATATGTCAATATGTAGGTTAAATATCATTTAAAACTCAACGCCCATCGCGTTCTTTAAATCAGCTGATTTAGCTCAACACTTGCAGCGGTTTTGATGTCAATTTGCGCTCAGGTCTTGTGCGCATGCTCTGCGCGGTTTTTGGCGTCAATTTGTTGTCAAGTTATGCGCGTCAATGCTGCGCGGTTTTTGCTGCAAGTTACCCGACATCGAGCCTTGTTGCTTACTTGATGGCAATTTGGCAACAAAATTTGATAAATCAATTCTTGCAGCAAATTTGTAACCTATTTGACATCAACAATTGATATCAAACCTTGCTCGAAATTTGTTAGTTCAGGTTTGGCTATCTGGGTATGGCTCAACCAATGTCATGCCAAGTAGCACGAACACGGGGCCTGTGATTGGCTGCAGACTGCGACCTCTAATTGTCAGAGAATTTAGCAGGAAATCTACGTATACAACTTTATGTCTACGATGCTATATCTCACCGAGATCTTGAGCATCGTGAACACAAGCTATCTATCAAGCATTCTATCTTCTTTCCATGTATAATGAGTGATAAAGATAGAATGACGCTTACATCGCGGCCGCGTTGCGTTACACGCTCACAACGCCGTAAGCGTCACTCTATAAATGCGTTCGGGGAGCTCGCTATTAGCGCTATTCAGTGCTACCGTATCATTCTATCCTTGTTGTATATCTAAGAAACGATAAAGATAAAAGAACGCGGTAGCATTAGTAGCGTACTCCCCGAACGCACCCTATCTTTGTTGTTCATTGCATGTTAAATAAAAACAGAATGACGTTGCCAGCGTGTAATGGAACACAGTCTACGTAAGACATTTAGAGACCACGTGTTTTGAAGACTCTGAGGAGTATATATTTTGTTCTGTGCTTGCAGCTGGCTGAAGATTTTATCATAACATCGGTGAAAATATGAAAAGAGGTCCATACAAAAGGTTCCTGGAAAATGAGAATATCTCAATTTCACGGACAACACAGCAACGACGTCGCTTATTACATGAGGCAAGTACACTGTACGTAATGTACATGCAACATAGGTTAGGCTACTTACAGTTTCACGTTATCACAAAAGTTAAGTTATTTTACATATTTTACGATGTAGAATATAGAAGGAAACGTTGAGAGACACCTAGTTGAAATACAGTCCGACGTGCAAGCGGTAATCAACCAATAAACAACGAAAATAAAGTAATCGATATGTGTGTGTGTGTGTGTGTGTGTGTGTATATATATATATACATGTATATACATGTATATACTAGGTGCGCAACTAAGTTTCCGGGTTTTTTTTATCAATAAAAAATGGAAAATTTCAAGAGAAATACAAAAAATGGTTTATTCAAAGTATCGTCCCTCGCTAGCTACACATTTTGGCCATCTCTCTGACAATACATGAATACCGCGATGATAAAATGACGCGTCTTTGGACCATTCATCTAACCAATTTTGCACTTTTTCGAAATTGGCCAAGTGTAGCCTAGCCAAGCCATGCGCCATCGACCGGAACAAGTGATAATCGGAAGGGGCCAGGTCTGATGAATACGGTGGGTGCGGTAGCAGATCTCATTTTAGCGTTTTGATGGTGTCCTGGACGATGGAAGTGCGATGGCACGGAGCGTTGTCCTGCTGCAATATCACTCGTTCGTGTCTCGTGTCCCATTCTGGCCGTTTTTCGAGCAATGCATGGTTCAAATTGATCAGTTGTTGTCGGTAGCGATGCCCATTGTCAGTTTCGCCCGGTTTCAGCAGCTCAATACACGATTCCTTTCTGGTCCCACCAAACGCAGAGCATTGTCTTCTTTCCGAAGCGATTTGGCCGTGCCGTCGATGTTGATGTTTCGCCAGGTGAAAGCCACGATTTTTTGCGTTTGGAATTCTCGAAATATATCCACTTCTCATCGCCAGTAACAATTCGATGCAGGAAACTCTTTCTTTTATGCCGCAAAAGCAAAATTTCGGAAGTGGCTCTTTGATTTTCCATCTGTCTCTCAGTCAACTCATGCGGCACCCATTTTCCTTCCTTTTGAATTTTTCCCATGGCATGTAAACGTTTGGAAATATCTTGGCGAGTCATGCTTAATGCCTCCGCAAGTTGATCTTGTGTTTGCGTATCATCTTCATTCAATAACGCTTGCAGATCGGCGTCCTCAATTGTTTTTGGTCTTTCGGAGCGCTCCTTGTCCTTAATGTCGAAATCGCCACGTCTGAAGCGTTTAAACCAATCTTCACAGGTAGTTTTCGATGGTGCATGTTCGCCGTAGGCCTCCTCAAGCAAACGACGTGCTTCAACTGCATTTTTTTCAAGTTAAAGCAGAAAAGCAAAGCTTCCCGCAAATGCTGTTTATTTGGCACAAAACTCGACATCTTCATTGTTAGAAAAAACATTTTTGCGTTGCGATATGTGTTGGTATTATGATTGATTATTGTTGACAGATGTCCAAGCTATAAAAGAAACACAACTTTAGACATGTGTGTCGACTACATGTGTCGTTAGCGCCATCCATGTGTGAAACCCGGAAATGCGCACCTAGTTGCGCACCTAGTATATATATAATTAAAATATATAATAATTTTAATATTAGTATATTTTTTATCATAACTACATCAATTGTTTCTCTTGTAGGTAATAAAACGTCGAGGCCGATATAAGTTATACCTCGAGGATAGTAGTATTCAAATTCCACAGAGAATGCAATGCAGGGTGAGGCATCAACTTCATGAAGTAAGTAAGACATGTTTAGACGTTATTAAATTTTGTGAACGATTAATTAACGAACTGTTGACCATCAAAGAAGGATACGTATCGTTTTTATTGGCCCCATTCAGTGTTTCTTTTTTTTTAATGATGTATATCACGTTTGACTTTTTATCATTAACGGTTCAATTAATATATGTTACGTCTGGATGTTACGTCCTGGTAGAGAACGCAACACGACGTAAGGTCTCGATCGTACTAGCAGGTCGAGTTACGAGTCAGCGACCAGAAAGATCGCTTTACGCGTGTACCGACGTACGACGAGTAGTCCTTTTTCGATCAGAGAACTGAAT